AATTGGCACAATTCACTGAAGTCAACAGTTCCCGAGCCATCTGAATCAAGTTCAGTAAACAACTGCTGCCAACTAAAAATGAGTAAACGTATTAAATCAAATTAAGCAGGACGCTTAAACATGAAATCCCGGAAGAGGTAACCTACGCTTCCATTGGTTGATTTGAAATTCCCAAAGCGATTTCATATTCCGATAAATGTATAATACCATCTCCATTTATGTCCAATTCCTTCATCAGTTTCTATAATAATCAAAAAAATTAATTCAATTAAATTACAGTAAACTAAAGCAAAATTTAGAAATTGCTTTAATTCATTGGCTCCAGTGTTAATTAAGGGGGGGGGGGAACGGGAAATATTTGTTTTAATCATGATGAAACCGCGCGTAGTGAGATTAACTTAATTTTAACCCATATTTCCACACTCTCAAATATATATTTTTATTCGAGTATCAAAAAGATTAAAGTCACACTTGAATGAAAGGATTAATTTCAAATTACCTCCACGTCAGCTACTGGTAATCCTTGAGATTCCAGTGCGCTTACCAGCTCCGCTCTGTCTAAGGAGCCGCTTTTGTCCTTGTCGGCCATTTGGAAGGCTTTAAGGTACTTATGCCTATTTCCAGACATCGGAATGCCTAAAATGTTAAAGTCCAAGTGAAGTATTATATAACACGGGCTTTTAATAAAGAGGTCTAAATTTCATATTAGCTGCATTAGGTAGACGCTAGTGATGTGTGCAAATATGGTGTAATTTAATGTGTGCAAACTTACGTTGAAGTTTTGACTTGAATTGGAGTAACGCTCTGCTTTTCCATATTCTCCTTTTATTACCGACAGATATTTACATTTCATAGGCACACGATATTTAAAAAAACGGTACCGATACTTTAGTATAGACCCACAAAATATGCGTCGATCCTATTGGCTGGTTAGGTGATTGCTCATCCAAGGAGCATTAATTAAATCAAATCAGCTCGATAATAGGATAATAATTAACTCTCTTCAGCACTTAAACAAAAAATAGTAGAATTGGAATTGTTTAAAAAAATGTCAGTTTTTTTCCTTCTAATTAAAACAGTAAAGAAAAATCTTCAGCTTAAGTATAGACAAAACAAAATAAATAATTTTTCAAACAGATACAAGACCTGCCTTTACCTTTTTGGGGATTCAATAAAATACCCTTGCTTCTGGTATACACTTACAAAAACAATATTTTCTTAAATGAAAATGATATTTGCTAAGTCCATTTTAATTTGGGCAAATAATTTTCAAGTTATCAAATTATTCATGCGTAATAAAATAGTCAACTTCATTTAAAGTTTAGTATCGCTCTTTTAGCAGTCCGATGGCAATTGTAGACAAAGGTTCAAATATGTTTAACCGCCATTTTGGTAAGCGAAAGTTTTGCCTTCAATTTTTTTGAATGATAGAGGTTTCAACAAGTGAGCAATGTAGAACTTTGGCCGGAACCTGGGGGAGGAGGGGGGCGGGAACGCATAACTGAGTTGGAACACAAAAGAGAGGTAGATTTGGCTTATTCATCAAGACAGGCGATGAATCTAAGCAATTCCCTTTATTAGTTTTCCCATTGCCAGTGAGTCTATCACTTAAAGCTGGAATTAACAATTCCGTGCCTGCACCTCAGAGAAAATTGTCTAACTTTGTTACTTCGGCAGTGGGAGTATTATCTCCAACCATTTCATCAAATAGAACTCTTCTTCTGAAGAATTATGACGCATTTTATAGCATATTTAGTGATCTTCACTTCAAATATCAAGCAAGTTGGTTGATTGAGAATATTTATTTATATCAAATGACAGGCGTCTTGATAGTTATCATTAGCCCTTTAGTTGACTTCAAACTTCACAGAGGGGAAGGAACATCAAAGTGAAAAAAGTCGATAGGGAGGGGGGGGGAACAAAAGAGTTTTTCAAAGATGTAAGAGACAAACACAAAGGTAGAACAAAGAGTTCAAAGATGTAAAAGAGACAGACACAAAGGTAGAAAAAATAAGGAATATCAAAGAGAAAAAAGTCGAGATGGGGGGGGGGACAAAAGAGTGTTTAAAAGATGTAAGAGACAAACACAAAGGTAGAAAAAAGGTGAAGAAAGTGAAAAAGGTTAAGATTGGGGGGGGGGACAGAAGAGTGTTTCATAGATGTAAAAGAGACAGACACAAAGGTAGAAAAAAGGTGAAGTGTAAAAGAGACAGACACAAAGGTAGATGAAAGGTGAGGTAAGTGTAAGAGACAAACACAAAGGTAGAACAAAGGTGAGGTGATTACTGTGGAAATAGTCAAATATGGCATAGAGTGAGGTGAGTACTTTAAAAGAGACAGACAGACAGACACAAAGGCATAAAAAGGGTAAGATGAGTACTGTGAACGGGGTCGAATATGACAAATAGTCGGGCCATAGTAGTTTGAAGTGAGACAGAAAGACATAAATGCATAAAAAAGGTAAGATGAGTTCTGTGGATGGGGCAATAGTCGGCTCATTGTAGTTTGAAGTGAGAAGTCAACTGCCAGTCAATAGACTTATTTGTCGTATGAATATTGAATATTGATTGAGAATATTGCTATGCGCTTACTTGAATATTGGATATCTATCTAGAACTCTCCCCTATGATCCTCATCGGCAATTTTAAGGACACTTCTAAACACTGATTACGATGTTCAAACACATGAGAATCGCAAACACAAAAAATTAGCTTTAGGCTGAGGAATCATCTATGAACGTCTTAAAATGATAATGAAATATATGTGGTTTCATCGACAAAGAATTTGAACTAACCTTTCAAGGCGAAGAATTTATCTTATAAAACAAAAACTCAGAGAAGGATACTTTTTATCGTATAAACTTTAGCGAAATTTCATAGGATATCACTGGCACAATTCAAGGGGCGTTAGTTTTGGTAAAAACTACGCGCTAGGCATTCTGCGCCTGAATGCGGTTGAAGTGCAAAAAAAGAAATCGATAAAAGCTATCAAATGTTTTATTATTATTATATCAAATGGCAGGCGTTTTGATTGTTATCATTAGCCCTTTAGTTGACTTCGGTCTTCACAGAGGGGAAGGAACATCAAAGTGTACAAAATTCAAGAGGGGGGGGGGACAGAAGAGTGTATCAAAGATGAAGGTAGATAAGGTGGAAAAAAGGTGGGATGAGTACTGTGAAAGAAGTCGAATATGACATATAGTGGGGTCATGGTAGTTTGAAGTCAACTGCCAGGTAATAGACTTTTTTGTCGTATGAGTATACGCTGCCCAGAGTGCACCACGTGGAGGTAAGTCTTTCACACACCCCAGCTATCAGATGTATTCCTGATTGTTTATGCTTCCAATAGCCTCAATGACCAACGCAAAGAATTAATTCAACTTTACTTCATCAATTACTATTTTAATATAATTATCTCAAGGGGTTAAATGAATTCCTTATATTTAACACCTAGGATGACTGTTGACGTGGAAATTACATTTAAATAGTCAATTGTTTTGATTTTTAGTAGAGAATCAATCTGCAGGCATCTTAATTTCCCGCTTTAAACAATGTCATTATTGAAGGAAAGAGCGTCTTTCACTAGCAAACAGTGAAAGAGTATCTGTCGCGTTTTATCTCAATTTTTGAAACCAGATTTGGTGCACTAAAATGTGATCATCAGTTTAGTAATAGGTGTAACCTATTTTCCTTTCCATTTTTTCAAAAAAAAAGCTTAGCGAAATGTTAATAGTACACGGCGATCCTGTGCAGAAGACGTCATCGTTATTCAAGTTCAAAAGTACTACTGAGCGTTATGGTGAATACCTTTTTAGAATAATAAAACGACCAGAAATTTTAAAAGCCCATTAACTATCTTTTTTTAGTCTTTAGAGCATTACTTAGTCATTTGACTTTCCATAGAGTTAACTATAGTTTCCTCTCCTAAACTCAAGTGGTGCATATTGGGCAATGTATACTCATACAATAAAATCTCTATAAACCGGCAGTTGATTTCTGACTTCAAACTACCATGATCCCACTGCATGTCATATTCGTCCCCTTCCACAGTATTCATCTTACCTTACCTTTTTCTCCGCCTCTCCTCGACTGTTTGTGACTTTGATGTTCCAACCCTCAGTGAAGCCTGAAGTCAACCAGAGGGCTAATGATGGCTCTCACAAAGCCTGCCATATGCTATAAATAAATCATTAAGGGCAAAACTTTTTTACTCCAAAGCCGACAGGGTATCTGCCAGACTGACATTGACGCTGCTTTTTCACCAAAGTTTAAACGTCGGAGGTCTACCAAACCCATTTCTAGCATTATGCTCAAGGGCTTCGAGTCGGGCGTTGTCATTCCTGTCTGAAAAATTATAAGTCTAGAAATTTCGACGATGACGTAGTAAAATGCACTATTGGATAATTGACTTGGTTAATTATGCAAGAATTATTGCAGAAACTCAAATGCTCATGTCATCTGTGCAATACCACTTGGGGGGGGGGGGGAGGAGGAGGCAGATCATGAAACAAAATGAGATCAGAATTTGGGTGGCACCACATAATGTCCCCCAGTATTACAAAGAGTCCACTCTTTGCAAAAGAAATAGCTAAGGTGAATAAGAAGTGGCTCGTTTAAAACAGTGTTAGTAAACTCTAATGACTGGTTTCCAATCAAACACCCACATTCTACCCACTGAATTGGACGAAGTACTTAAAACCACAGTTATTGTTGTTAACAATTGGGAAAACTAGACCAGAAATTGACGAAAATGGATAGTTATTTAGTATGAAACACCTCGACAGATTCTGCTGAGTAAGAATGACCCTACAGAAAGTTAATCTACTTAGCTGGAAAGTTCAATCTCATTCGCTGTATTTGTCAAACTGTATCCCATCACTTTATCACCTTCACATGCTTTTTGAAGCAAGCAAGTTGCTTATAAACTGCTTATTTATATCAAATGGCAGGCATTTTGATAGTTATCATTAAACCTCAGGCTTCACAGAGGGGAGGAACATCAAAGTGAAAAAAGTCGAAAGGGGGGGGGGGGTCAAGAGGGACATCAAATCGAAAAAAGTCTAGAGGGGGGGGGTGCAACAGAAGAGTGTTTCAAAGATGTAAGAGACAAACACAAAGGTGGAAAACATCAAAGTGAAAAAAGTCGAGAGGGGGAGGGGGGGGGAACAAAAGAGTGTTTCAAAGATGTAAAAGAGACAGACACAAAGTTTGAAGAGTGTTTCAAAGATGTAAAAGAGACAGACACAAAGGTAGTGTTTCAAAGATGTAAAAGAGACAGACATAAAGGTAGAGAAAAGGTAAGATGAATACCGTGGAAGAGTGTTTCAAAGATGTAAAAGAGACAGACACAAATGCAGAGAAAAGGTAAGAAGAGTACTGTAGAAGGGGTCGAATATGGTATATAGTGGAGTCGTGGTAGTTTCAGGTTAGAAGTCAGCTGCCGGTTAATAGGCTTTTTTACCATATATTTATACGTTGCCCAGGGTGCACCATGGGGGGGCAAGTCTGTCGCACACCCCTGTTCATAAAATGTGCAATTTGCCATTGACAATGGCAATATGTTTTAACATTTTTTTAGTTTCTATTGAATCTTTAGAGTTTGGTAGCATTCTGTAATAAATCACGGATA